GTGGCAAGGTATAGATTTATAGAAATGGGTTAATTTAAGATATAAGAACAGTTAGCAAGAAGCCTGCCACGGCCATACAGTTTGCATGCAATATAAGTCTCTGTGTTTACTTGGTTGGGTCTGAGTGGCTGTGGGACTGGTGGGTGACAAAGATTTGTCCTGACTGTGGGAAAGGCAGGAAATCTCTAGCTACACTTCTCCAGTGACTCTAGCTTGTGTCCAGCTGACTTAAACTTAGCCAGCACAAGAATGTATAACAAGAGTTGACCTGATGCCTTTCTACATATCCTTCTTCCAGGGTCATCCAGGAAGCCCTCCCTGATAACCCAGCAAAGACCTATCTTGGCATCTGGAGAGAAGCTGACCCTCCAGTGTTACTCAAACATGAGTTATGATAGATTTGCTCTTTCCAAGGAGGGTGGAAGTGACATCCCACAGATGTCTGCTAATTTTACCCAGACTGGAGAGTCTCATGCAAACTTCACCTTACACTCTGTGAATTTCACCAATGGTGGCCGGTATAGATGCCATGGTTCATACCACATCTCTTCTGAGTGGTCAGGCCCCAGTGACCCCCTGGATATCCTGATCACAGGTGAGGAACATAGTGTAGTCTCTCAGAGACCCAGACTCTGAACAGGCTCAGCTTTGGGGAGGCCAGTGATTGATGGTCAAGATGATGAAGGTCATCTCAGGATGAAAAGTTCTTGTGAGAGGGGAGTAGATGAATGGCATTCAGGGAAGATATAGAAGACTATATAATGAAAAAGGGTCTCAGAACAATGACTATAGCCCCTCATTCACCCTTCTTCTCTCTAGGACAACTCTTTGTCACACCCAACCTCTCAGTGCATCCAGGTGCCACCGTGTCCTCAGGAGAGAAAGTGACCCTGTTGTGTAAATCGTCAATCCCAGTGGACAGCTTCCTTCTGTTCAAGGAGGGTACATTCCATTCCCACATGCGTCAAATATCAAAGCTCCAAGATTCACAATATCAGGCAGAATTCTCCATGAGTGCTGTGACCCCATCACTTGGGGGTACCTATATGTGCTTTGGTTATCAAAGCTCATCACCATACCTGTTGTCACAACCCAGTGCCCCTGTGGAGATCATAGTCTCAGGTGAGATTGCCATGATATGTGTGAGATCAGAGGATAGCACTGGATACTTGACCTTGGAAGCTCTTGACTGGGATGAGAGTTAGTTAATTTTCAGGAGGGCTAATCATAAAGTGTTTAGTAGTCAATGATACAGAGGTAAACTGGGATTCCTTGATTAATACACATTCCACCCTCTTTAGGGAAATTCAGTATGTTCCAGGTAGGCAGCTGCAAGGTTCTGGAGAGGCTTCAGTGTAGATGTAAGACTGAGAAGAACTGAGATAATTACATCAGACATTTGCCCATCACCCCCTCCCATTGTCCTATTACCAATTTTCTTGAGACCACAAGGCTCATATCAATAGAAGTGTTAGATTTTCCTGTCTAGGAGTTTGTTCCATTCCAAAGTGTGAAATCTCTCAGATCCTGTAAGTCTTTACTTCTCTATCAGCTTGCATGTTGACCAGGATGCTGGAATTCAAGCAGTGTGCTCAACATGGTCCCCAGAACCCAAAAAGGCTTACAGGCTAGAATGTAATAGAATCATCCTGACAAAGAGTGATTTTTGAGATCTATCCTAGGAGAGAGAAGCATGTGAATGAGAGCAGGAAGTAACTTCCCACAGTTTCCCTATCCCATCCCATGATGCCCTGGGAACCAGTCCTTCACCCCATGGAGTCTGACCACAGAGCTCTAAACTAGAACTCTGTTGCTGCAACAACTCAATCTAGATATGGGGTAGATGCAGTCTTTTCTGACAGATTCACGCGGACAAGCCCCTCTCCTGTGTGATTCTCAGTTTCTATAAGTATGCTCTGGACTAGATGTTAAGTTCCTTTTAGTGCTGAACTTATCTGTGCCCTTCTCATAAAGCAAAATTCTCTAGAAACCACTTCTGCAATTGTCTTGCCCCATCTGACATTGTGATCGTGACACTGTGTAGCCGTACATGACACAGTCATTTCAGAGTACCCAGGCTCCTTCCTTCCAGGTCATGCAGTTTAGTTCCAGAGTAGGCAATAAGGCTGGAGGCTGGATTACTTGTGTTCAGTCCTCAGCAATGCTCTTTCCTGCTGGGTGACCAGCAGGTGAACTGTGTGGAACAATGAGAGTCAGTCTCATAGTGTATGGCTATGAGGGTGGGAGGTAGTGAATATAAAGATTCAGTATGTGCCTCTCACCCCAGTCCTCATTCATGTTATCTATATCCCAGGACTAGCAAGATACCAGAAGATTTTGATTGGAGTTTCTGTGGGATTCCTCCTGCTGCTCTTCCTTCTTGCCCTACTCCTTCTGCTCAGACTCAGGCACCAGAAAAAATGCAGCAAGGGACGTGAGTAGAGTGTGGGTGGTCATGTTCTCAGGGGGTACTACATCCCCTTTTGGCTACCCAAGAGGGGACTAGGCAAGCCAGCCCTGTGGAAAGCCCAGACGGGGAGACATCACTTTAGAAACACTTCTGTGAAACTCAGATCATCAATACTATCTTAAAACTTGTGCAGTATCAAGTATCATATGAGTTGTTCCATCTCCTGGAAAATGTGAACACATACACATATGAAATGAGTTGTAAAACTTCTTTCCTTCCCTAAAGGTA